AACTTTTACCAAGGCTGCTGCTGGCAAATCAAGTGTACAAAGCAAATGTGTTTGTTAAACGGTGCTACAGATGATAGAGCTCTGCAATAGCTTTGTCACTGTCAAGTTCACATTATTGTCTTTGTAAAATGAACATTCCTGCCTTTTGTCTCTCTGCTTTCTGCCCTCGCTTTTTAATTTCTGCGCTGGATAGGTGTTTTAGGTTGAGTGTATTAGTAATCTGGATGATACTAAAATGTGCATAGTGTAGCAATATTTGTTTATGTTTTACTGACAGCTTAAAAACCTAAACCAACAGTACTGAGCAAATACACAATATATACTATTTCATTGTCGGTTTGGATTCATAGATTAGGTGGTGAAAAGTCTGATACCTTATTAGTAGTATTGATTGGTTGGCCTAACCCTAACATGAGTAAACTGGTTCTTTTGCAGACAGATGATATATATCTGAAAGACAATGACAATAAAAGCCGGTAAGATAATGCAAATCTCCTCTGAATTCAGGTCTAGGACGGGAGGTAGGGGGAGGGAGTATCCCACAAAAAAGAATGGAGAAGCTAACCTAAAACTCTGTGCCAGTGGAGATTCTGCCAATGAAGCTGAACCTATCACAGGAACAATTCCCATCAATGGCAGGATTTCCTATCATTTGCATGAGAGCAGCATTAGGCCTTTAGTCTCCTCAAGCAGTATGTTGTAAGGTAGACTTTGCACTCCTAGAGGATTTCCAGAACACAGATTCATAGCCGATAGCATCATAAAAGGAAGGGGAAAAGGAAGACTGATCCTACCAAAGCATTGCTTAGAAATGTGGACAAAGGCAGGAGAAGGAATTCAACTGTATCTTCCAGACACTGTGGAAGTGGAATTTCCCTTGACGCTGTCATACACAATAAGGACAAGGGCCTGTGTGTGCTGCAGATAACCCACCTTGTGCCCTGTGAACTTTGCCAGGTGTCAGGAGGACCATTCCAGAGCTTGCTGGTGGGCTCGGGGAGAGGGGAGGATGCAGAGAAATGGATGACTTCAGTGGGGGCAAAGCCAGATGGGCTACTGCTAATTTGCGGAGACTGATAGTAGGCTCTTTAAAAGAATGTGTAATAGAAACAGGGGGCTTTTTCTCCTAAAGTTTTGGCAGAGGGTGGTGGTGAAATCCCACAGGAACAGGAGGATTTTGATGACAACTAGACTGGGACTATAAAACTGACCTCTCTGGATTTTGAAAAATGAAGCATTTAAAACATTTCTGCTTTTGGTCTACCTCTAACTATGGTGGTGCTCTGTAACTCCTTGCATTTTAGATGACAATGTTAGGGCAGAAGAATACTCTTTCCTCTCCACTGGTCTTTTGGAGGGGTCCCTGTACAATTTCTGCAGCATGTCCCAGGTAACCGTGCTTGCCTTTTCTCTAAAATATCAGTCATTTTTCACTGTAAGTTCTGGACCCTTTCGTGGATGATACTTTCACATGCAGCTCCTAATCTTTTGTAAGACAGTTTTGCTGTCTATCTCACACAAAAATACTTGTCTGGAGAAAAGTCTATCAGACTGTCCATCCACCTGCTTGATGCTTTCTGGTTTACTGATTGTAAATCTTTACTTGGATATACTCACAGTACCAAAACTGAAGTGTAGGCAGTGTGGACACCTGCAATGGATGGATAAGTTTCCCCTTTGCCCTTCCTCTGTCTTTGCCCAGCCCTGCAAAACACAGCTCTTGAACTCTTCGAGTTCCCCTGAACACGTGTGGGCTTTAACTAGTACCTAGGAGGACTGGGCCCCAAATCTTCTCACTGCCTGCCCAACAGGTTGGTAGAGCAGCATATGTACAAAACAGACTCATGGCACAAATAACATCCATCTCAGAAGCATGTTACGGAGAGAACTTACTTAAAATATGCAGCAAGGTGTTACATTCAAAATATAGCTGGTTCCATGCTTATTGACAAATTTGAAATTCAGATCAAGATCAGTGAAGCTCAGGTTCTTATTGAATGAAAGGGCTAATATGTATTCTTGCACTGAAGCACTGTAAACAGGTTCTTCACAATTTTTTATTATTTTTTTTTATATTTGAAGATCAGACTCATTGCAGAATTTAGGAGGTAGGTGGCACACGTGTTGGTGAATGATGTGCATTCATTTTGCACGTCATTATTCCCAGCATTAGTCCTGTTGGTAGGATTCCTGGGTTTGCAGTGGGCTCTGTGCTTGGGCCGAGGACAGGCCCTGGAGCAGGATGCCTGCAAGTTTCTTGGCAGCAAAAATGGTGGCTCCTGATCTTGACTGTGGCACCAGAGTGGTGTCTGCTTTCTGTGTTTGCAGTGGAAATATACCTGCATAGGCCCTTGGAATGGAGCAGGATGCTGAACTGAAGTCCATAGATGGATCAAGCAAACTCTCATCATGGATCAAACTCTGGATTTGCTAAGGTCTGTTCTCCTAGTTCAAATTCTGATCAGCTCTTCAAAGGCATGTGTGGGGAATTGTTTTACCTCAGTGATTGTGAGCTGGGCATCTCTCTGTCCTAGCAAACCTCCAGTTCACACAAATAATCACTGTCTGCTGTGCTCTAGGGTAGAAGGGAAAGCAGTCGTGTCAGGGCTAAACTTTGAGGGATTTTTGGTTTGTAAACCCACAAGGACAAAAAAGGGAAAGACATTTGTTTTAAAAAAATACACCAAAGTATCTTCATGGCCAACGAATTTCTCACAGAGACAGAGAACGTCTTATTTTCTTCTTGGCACTAACATTTGAACCTCTGAATTAAACTTCTAGAACCTGAGCAAAAACCGGAATTATGAACGCATGACAAAAATAACCATGAAGATTCTTCACAGAAAGCTCAGGTGCTGGAAATAATCAGTTACCTCTATTCTGTGAACCTCTGCTTTTTTAGCAAATATAAAGTATTAGCTGGCCTGATTTAAGCCTGTAGTTCTGTAGACATGTACCCTGACAAAAAAAAAAAAGAATTTTTAAAAAGTTTTTCTATTTTTCTTTTGAAATATTAATTGAAGTAGTTGATTTACGGATGCACAGTGAAGTCCTTTGTTCCGTAAGTGCTGTAAATCAGAGGAGCTTCTAAAGCATCCCCAGTGACTTTTACCTATATCCTGTTTTCAGTTCTGTTTCACTCAACAGAGGCAGGATGCGAAGCGAACCTGGCAACAAACCTGGTAACCGCGTGGGTGGAACCTTCTCTGCCGAAGCTGCCTCCTTAGCGCTGACCCCTGCATCTAGCGCTCTGCAAGCTGCAGACTGCTGAGTGACGTGTAGCTATTTCGTGGCATAATTTCAGTGTGAGCGTTTGTTTTAAAATGTTTAAGAAACAGTTTTATGATCTTATGTTAAAGAGTAAAGCTTTGGGAAATACTTCTTGTTGCAACGCAGTGCAGCTGTAGCACTCTGAAAAATAGGAATGATTTGTTAATTGAGTTTATCTTTTGCTTTCAGATTCATTTGTTTTATTGTTTGTAACTTCACATTCTTCTCTGTAGTATACTGTACTATTCTAAGGCTTTCATATGCTAAATTAATCCTGTGTCCTTTTCTCCTGTTGGTCACCCTTTATTTAAGGATAAAAAGTAACTCCTGGAGATACAGCAGATAAATTGCAAGTCAGCATTTCTGTGATGTGTTTCTGGTTTATTGGTTGTTGTTACAAGGCACAAATTAACCTAAGATGAGAAGCTTTTGTAAATCATTGGAGTATCCTTGCTTTTGTCTAATATTTTTTTCTACATGAACATCTATAATACTGCATGCTTTTACAAATGCTGATATAATGATTTATAATCAGTGGAGGCAGGAACACATTGATTAACTATACCTTTGTTAACTGCAGTAGCAACCAACTTTTAATGTTTTCTGTAGCTAAGAATGGAACAGATTTTCTCTCAGAAATTCATCTTCTTCCATATCTTTTTTCCTTGCAGTTCTTTCCTTCCTTTATCTTTATTACAGCGTGACAACCAGCACAGTAAGGTACTGCGCACACTGACAGTCCCACTACTGCAGAATAGAGTTCTCACAGAAAAAGCAGTATCAGTTCATCTCTTATGCATAAATGCTTTGTCTCTGCAAGCTGTACAGCAAACTTGTTAGCTCAGGGACTTGCTACACTGTCTTTAGGATAAGATAAAAGCCTTTTCAACCAACTTTTTGTATCAAGCCACTGCTCATAAAATACCTCATCAGAAAAAATGGTTCTTTTTGGACCACTGACATCAAGAAACTTCTAAAATAAGAATTGCTGGTCTTTTAGAAGAGGGGCTGTATTACCTGGTAGTCCAGGGTTAGGGTCCTAAAGTCACTTTAAACTTTAGAGTGAGGAGACCAAGTTGCTGATGTGTTTATGTGAACTCCTCTCTTAGCCTTAAACAAATCTCTTAGCAGGAGAGAGATGCCAAAGCTGGCTAGTATACAGGCTGGCTTTCACCTCTATTGGTCACAGTAAAGCCATAGCACCTTAAAGACAGATACCAAGTCAGCCCCCAATTTGATAAAATATATTGCATCAAATCATAGGACAGCATACACCTGCTCACTCAAAACAGTACTAAGCCTGTACCTGTCCACACTGCAAGTGAAATCCTTTCCTAAAGGGTGCTGTTTTCAGTATCATTTCTGTCTGTTTTCTGTTATGAATGAGCATTGGCAACCTAATCTAAATATTACAAAACAGAACTATAAAAAAGCATAAAATGTCTCTTCTTTTAAACAATCTGGGAATATTGTGGTATAGCCCAAGAAAGCCAGAGATTTTCCTCTTCCAATGTCAACTGTAAACAGCTTTGCTGCTGTCTGCACTTGATTTGGTTGAAGTGCCGTCAGCGTTAGGCCCAAAGGATTCTGTGGATATGTATAAAATTCATAGCCTGTCTGCAGGTATTTCTTAAATTATTTAAGACATTAGAAGAGATTTTTGGTGGAGGTAAAAAACCTTTGCAATGAACTTCATAGCTGAAGGACAGCAAATACTGTTTATCTCTTACCTGAGTCAGAGTTGGTGGAGCTTCGGTTTGTTCCCAAATCAGGCAAACTAAAATCAACAGTATCCCAAAATGTTAAGCAGCATACAGAAAATGAAGATCAAATAGAAAAATCCACTTCTCTTTTTGTTAAGCAATACAGGGAGTGTTCAGCTCTCCAGTCTCCAAGGTTTTCCAGCTGGGAGTCAGCCTTTTCCCATCCTGCATCCCGGCATCCTGTTATTGTTCCAAGTCTTAGTAATACAGTGAGAAAAGGGAGTGGAGGAAACAAGATAAACTTAGCCTTATTATTGCTATACCTACTTATTTGTTGCTGACTCTAATGAGGGAGCTGAATAAAAGGAAATTGGCTCTGAGAGAAACACAAAAGTTGGTTTGTTATTTAGTATCATTTCATAAAGAGTTTTAGGTTTTAGCAAACATCTGAATGGTACTTTAAATAGTGTCTGATATTGGATCAGCACAGACTATGCCTGTTTTGCACAAACAGGATTTTCAAAGCAACTTCGTATTAGTTGACTTGTTTTATCTCTACTGAAAAGTTCAAGGAAAGAAGTGAGAAAGTTTCTAAAGCAGTTTGGAGATGTCCTATCTGTAAGGATTTTTATACCTGCAAGCAAAAAAGCTAGAGCCCTCATATGAATGAGACCGGGTTCCTGTAAAGCTCTTTCAGCGCTGGATATAAAAACGAAATTTAACAGTATTTTTCACAGGTAAAATTATGACCCCAGAAGCAAGACAGTGTAGGGTCTTCCAGAAGGCGAAAATGTTTGTAACATCTTGATTATGGTTAGTTTTAAGTCTCGAGGCCACCAGGGCAGACAGAAGGGAAAGGTTCAGCGTTTGTGTTACGTTCCTGAGCCTGACTTGCTGGGCAGTGGCAGCCTGGGGTGGGCTCACCAAAGCGCTGGCGTCAGTGTCTCTGTCTCCCACGTAAAACTTAAGTCAGGATATTGTTTGGTGAGCCCAACCTGATGAGCCAGCGGGCTTTTCTACAGCCCAGCCTGAGTACCCGCTCCCTTCTGTGGGACTGCGATGCATTCTTCAGGGCCACCTGCCGTTTTCTGCCCCCTGTCTGCATGTTAAAACTGAATGCAAAGGTATATCTCTGGCACTGTACGGTACAAATGGAAGAGGAATTTTTTTACTAAATAGTGCAGAAGAAAATCCGAGAAGTGTGGGGCTTAACTCAAAACTCACTTTTTTTGAATGAGTTTTAATAAATGTAGGCAAATGTTCGATGTATCTTAAGTAGGACTTTAAATAATAATGTTCCACAGTCAAATACTCTCTTGCCCCTATTTGTCATCACGGTCCAGCACAGGTGATGGCATTGATTTGGTTGGTTAGATTATTTCACATTTTTATGATGTACAGCAGCAAAGATGAGTGGCTTTTAAAAAAATTTGATACGTTAATTATTCAGAAAAGTTAAGCAGCTAATGAGGAGACATTTTTCAAAGTCTCACATAAGGAGACCAACTAGACTTAAGTTTCCTTACAAGAAAATGAGCTGTTTCTGTGTCATTGCTGAGAGAAGAGCAGGGAGGATGTTGATAGGAGTTTTCCAGGGAACCGCAGTTATCTGGTCAGGATGCAGCTCAGTGATAATCTGGTACCCACAGCAGACAACAGTCCCAGATATGATTTACTTTTGCAAATGACTTCAACTGTATTTGCAACCGTTGCATAGCCTTTGATGTTCATATCTGTGGACTTGGGAGTAAGCATGCTATTTAGCTAATCTAAACAAAGGATGAGGATAAGGGAGCCCTTCACGTCCGCTGCTCAGAAAAGGAAAAGAGAAAACCCCTATGCTCTCTATATATGCCTTGAGGCAACAGGCCTAGATTATCAAGGTCTGTTTTGATGCCTGCTAAATAAACTTTGTATTATTAGTTGACTTGTTTTATCTCTCCTGAAAAGTGCAAGGAAAGAAGTGAGAAAGTTTCTAAAGGCATTTTCAGCATGCTCTGTTTCAGAGCTCAATAGAATAACTGAAAACCATTTATAAGCTCGGAGGAAGATACTTTCATTTAAATTTTAGAAACCTGATTTAATATCTCACAATCTTCCGCATTATGCTTTATAGATTTCATCTCTGCTGAACTGATTCTTTAAGGCTTCTTTCTGGCTATGAGGAAATGTCCATTGAGATTTTACCGAATGAAGAACCTGTCTTTGCAGCCCTCTCCAACAGGCAGCAAAGCTCCTAATGGTTCAGACCCCCCCATGCCCTCTGGTTAATCCCAGACGTTTGCACTGCTGTGCTTCCTAGGTAGTGAATTTCATCACGTTTTCCAAGCTGCTGACTAACTAGCAAGCAGGTTTTCTTGTAGATCTTAGACTTTCAGACTTCTTTATCATTAGGGCCAAATCATAAGACTTTGGAAATATTCCTTGGTGACTGGTGTCTTGTGCAAGCAAGAGGGTAATGTTTTAAACCAAATATTATTAATTGATGCTAAGGTTTGCTAACGAGAAACATCCTGTGCATGATTGGACAACATTGGCAGGTATACTTACCTTTTAGGGGCCTCATTTTATGTATGAAATCTTATTTAATAGTCAAACTTCTGGAACTGAAAGGAATAGGTAGAAAATGAATAGAATCCTTAGCATCTAACAACTTCGCGCTGCTCTGTGTGGCTCATGGATGGAGCTGGTGGCACGAGTAAAAGGAGTGATAATTATTTACTTGGCATTTCACAGTGTTTGTCTGCCATTCCTTTTTCCAGATGACACCAGGCCTTTTTCATTGGTCTGTTCAGTGCTGCTGTACAAGTTTTCTTCCATGTTATATCCAGCTGTCCCTACTGGATCATTTGCTTTTTTCCCTGAGGTTTTCCCACAGTTGTTCATTAGCTGCTCTTTTTCGACTTTGTGGCACCTGGGTTAGATGTGTGTGGTTCAGATCAGCATCTCTTTCTATGAGAGTTTATAATGTGAGCCTGTGTTATTTAAATGCTGGTGCCTGAGCAATCTTCCAGACTACTTATGCTAGTAAAGTTTAAAATAGTCTTTCCTTTCTTGGATAAAGGGGGTAAAACTCAACTTTGCTTTGAAAGTGCTTGTGCATTGTTTGAATTTGACATTTCTGGGAATCTAAAGTAATAACTGTCATCTTGCTACTGCTGAAAGGAATAATGCGTTATAATGGGCAGAAACAGAGCCCTCATTTACTATGCTAAATCTATTAAATTTGACTGCTCTCACTATACACAGATACCTGTGAGTGGGTTAGTATAAGTTAATGGAATTGATAACTGCGCAGAATAAATGCGAGATTAAAGCTTGCATCTTTCTTCAGAATTATATTTTATCTGTTGCTGAGGAGATTGGTCAGGTGATCTGAAACTCCAATTTCATTACTTTCTGCGTAGCCAGCAAAGCAGGCTGACTCTTACGATAATAGCTTTTGGTTACATCTTGTTTCAGTTTTTCACTGTAGCGCTTGTTCGCTGTCCCATCTGATCAGTGGCCTCTGAAGTTCTCCTCAAAGAATTCATGGAAACCATAGTTGTAGGAACAAGTTCATTGCTTTCCTAACCAGCACAAATTCCAGCAAAGCTGATGAAACAGCCCATGCCTTTCACTGAGTGAGCATGGATTTATTTTTTTTTTTTCTTCGCAAGTAATTCTAGTTACGGTGAAATTCCACATGATGGATAAGTCCTTCTTAATAAACAGAGTCATCAAAAGCAAAGACAGCTATTGACACAGCTGCAACTAATGGTGTTTTAATTTCTCAGAAGCAATCGTCCTAATATTTGACTCTCACTGGAGTCAAATGCTTTACACTTGGCAATACAGCTCAAGAATGCTTTTGTAGCAGTTTAAAAAGGTTAGACCTAGTAGTCTGTCTTGCTAAAACTAGCACGTTATAGGTGCTGTGCAAGTGAAGGTCTGCCAAGATTTGAAATTCAGTCACAGCAGTAATACTTGTGTCAGTATTTTTAGGACCAGCTAAGAATTATGGTAGGGGAGCATAAGCTTTCCTTTGGTTATAAAAATAAACCTGAAATGCTAATTTTGAGCAGCTCAGATAATCACTGTAAAATCCCTCCCATTTTAAATGTGCAGTTGTATCTGACTGTTGTCTGAAGCCTCTCTGGAAGAAACATTACTTAAAGTTTAAAAAATAACAATTACTGCTCCATGTGGAAAGCATAATCTCTGCAGAACATTGTGTTGTTATTTCTGGGACTTTTAATCAGGGCAGTACAGTGCTTTTAGTCATTTCCACTTGTTAACTGTTTTCCTTTTTGTCACAGATTGAGGTGCATATCCTGGAGTGAGTCTGACTCAGCTTCCTTTTGTCAGGTTTGTTAAACAAAAGAATGTAGCTCTGATTTTTTTTTTTTTTTTTAATGTGAGGTGTATTTAAAAAACTGCTGAGGAATTTGAGTTAAAGCTGGTGGAATTGGATGTTTGCTGGGGACATGCGACAGCATTTTTCTGGAAATGTTTTCCAGAGTACCGTTATGGCTGTACCTTACACATTCCTTTAAACTGGATCTCTCATGGAAGGTTAAATCCTATGCGCCTTAATCAGGCAAATCTCTCACCATATATGAGACCTCTGGCTGCATAAGGACTAATGACTGCAGGATTTGCATCTAAAATGTTTAGCAGGGAATGGTCCCAAATGATCTTGCTTCCTTGTTTGGAAATGACAGAAAAAAATAGATGGTAGAAAATGCACCCATATTGTACTAAAACTCTTAGTAGCACTCTGAGCAGGAGTTGTAAAATGAAACTGCCTCACCATTGAACTGAAAGGAAGGAATCAGGAATCCCTTTGATATGTTCATTGAAAACACAATCCACAGGGATTTTAACAAGCAAGCCTGCAGGCTAACTCAGGCACACTAACCTTGACATGTGATTTGAGTTTGGAGAGCAAGTCTGATGCAAAGGTGTGAAGCTGATCAAAAATTTTCCAGAAATGTTTTTGATAAACAATCTTGATTTCAGTGAAACTTTTTCACCCAAAGAACATATCTGCTTTAATTGAAATGTCCCTTAAAATAGAAACCCAAAGCAACACAATCTCTTCTTCTTCCC